TCGATTATCTTGTGTGATAATCGATTATCATTGCTTGGTTTAATATTGCCCAAGGCGTGAAAATAATCGATTATCACCTTTTTGAAAACCCCATAACGGCCACAAATAATTGATTATCACTTATGATAATCGATTATCACTAGCATTTGGGAGTAGGTCTTTCAGTTTTTTACCCCTAGGCTACCTTCCTAAACTTCTAAGAGGTTAACTAAGCCATTTGAGAATACAAAAAAGTTCTGAGGAAGTTCTCAAATCTTAGAGTGCTCATATCAAGTCTTGTGACTAGGAGAAGCTTGCGTTTAGTGTGTCTAAAGTCAAAGCGGCTCTCTTCAAGTTGATTGAGTAGGTTCTTTCATTCGTGTGTCGAAGGAAGGTGTTCTCTGTCTTTTAATCTTTGTATTAATCTATTTGTAATCTGAAACAATATTTTAATTAAAAAGGTTAATCACTCTTTATAGTGATTAACGACTGGATGTAAAATCCTTTGATTTGAACCAGGATAAAATCATTTGTTTTGATTTTCTTTATTTCTACAACTTTAGCATTTAAACTTTTTGACAAAAGTTCTACAAGAAAATCATCGTTTTTAAAAGAACCAATTAACCCCACCCCTATTGGTTTTTGACCATTACACGCTCTTTAAATCCTTTCCGCTACGCGATACCAATATCAAAAATTGGTATTAGAGCTTGATTTGATAGTTTTTTAAAAATTTCGAAAATGGTCAGTCATAACCAAGTTTATGATGAGGGTGCTTCCATCAACAGACCACCACTTTTTACTGGTAATAATTATGCCTTCTAGGAAGTGAGAATGAAAACCTTTATGGGGTCTATTAACATAGGCATCTGGGAAGCAATTGAGAATGGTCCTTATACTCCTATGGAACTGTTGATGGTATTGAACAAGAAAATAAAAGAGCTCAGTTTGACATTAAAGCTCGTAATATTATATCTTCTATTGTGGTACTTGATGAATTCTATAGAGTTTTAGTGTGTAAGACAGTGTAGGAGATGTGGGAGGTACTTAGAGTCACTCACGAAGCTACAGATGATGTGAAACGCGCAAGGAAAAATACATTGATTCAGGAGTATGAGATGTTCATAATGCAACCTGGAGAAATAATAACAGACGTGCAAAAGCGCTTCACACACATCGTTAACCATATAATAGGTTTGGGTAAGACAATTGATGTTGATGAATTAAATGTTAAAATCTTGAAGTCTTTGAACAGGTCTTGGCACATCAAGCATTATTTTTACTCTAATACATGTTTGCTATTTCTTGATATAGTATATTGAACTCAGTATACAATATGATATTTTTGCTCTGATACATTGGTTATTCTATTATACTGTGTTAATCTGATTTATTTTTAGCGCTAATTATGGTATCAATTTATTGCTCAAAATGTTTAAAAGTGCTACTTCATTATGATAGGGGGAGCATCACATTTTGTAGATGGTTTGTAAGAACTTCTTGATGTATCTCTTTAAGAACTTTTTTTCCAATTACTTGATGGTATCTTTTTTGCTAATGCCCAAAGGGGGAGAAGTAGCTGGAAAAATAGTTTCTAGTTGTGTATCATCAAAAAAAGGGAAGATTGTTGATAGGGGGAGCTATGTGAAAGTTAAACCCACATATATCCCACATGTATTTTTGATGTTGACAACAACATAAATTTTTTAATAGTTTCTTGCACACAATAAGCAAAACTGCTATTTACATATTTGATTGTTCTTGAACTATATGTTATACATATTCATAATGTTTATATCTGTGATATGTGATTATATCTATGATATGCATATTAATTGGATTAGATTGATAAAACTCTATGCATATTGCATATCTGTATGAACTAATCGATTATAGTGTTTATGTATTCAATTAGATTGATCAGATATCACTATTTGTTTAACTGTGGCAAACTACCAGTTTTAATTGATTACATTATGTGGATAATCGATTAAAACTCGTGCATTTGCATATACTTGATTGTTGAGTGCATTGATGAGTTTTGGTGTAAAAAAGTTTTCAAATTTGTTTAAGTGTTGTACTTAACTGATTACACTTTTTTCTTAATCGGTTAAAATGTTCATTGATTGAAAATTGTTTTCTTGATATGTCATAACTACCTTAGCGGTCATATTTTTGAATGTTATGACTTGCATTGATTGCTTAATCGATTACATGCTAGCTTAATCTATTAAATGTGTTAAATGTAATTCTGTTACAGAAAGTATTAATTGCTTAACATATTACATTAATAATGTAATCGATTAATTTGCGTCAGAGTTGTTATTTCTATAAATTGACGCATAGCTCTTTGCATTAAACAACTTTTGGATATTATCTTTCAAATCTAACAATGTTTGTTGAGTCTTAAATTGCAAGAGTGTTCATTCTCCAAGAATCAAGAAGCATTTATTTGGAAGAAATCAAAGCAAGGATTCTTGAAGAAATTATTGTGTTTTCATAGTTTGATCAATTTGCACTGAGGTGTTCTACAGAAAGATCAGTTTCGTCTACAATCATCTGTGATTGTTGTTGCCCTGTTTCCGCTAGTCAGGAAGAGAATGTGGAGTTCTGGTTACTTTGAAAGGGGTATCTCAAAGGGTTTTTGCAAAAAGAGGAATGTTCTTTTTGTGTGTTTAACTATAGTAGATTTGGAGTTAGAGAGGAGAATACATTGAGAGGGTGTCTTTGTATTGCTTGTGGTAAAACTCAATCTATATAGTGCATTTGCTTTCAATCTCAGGTTGATTGAAAGGGACTGGATGTAGGCATTGATGCCAAACTAGTATAAACCTTAGTGTGGTTTTTTCTATTCTTTATCTCTTTCATTTCATTACATTCTTTATTTGCTTGCATTTCAAGAAAGACTCAAAGATTTTCAAAAGGTTTTAAAAAATCAATTTTTATAATATAAAACCAATTCACCCTCTCATCTTTGTTGGAAAACAAGGTCAATCCTTTTCTACAAACACATTCGTAGTATCCCTCAGAAATTTTGTCGGTAAATTGAATTTATCGACGACTTAAGGTTCGTCACTAATATTTCGTCGGTAATTTAACCTTTTCCTATAGTGGAACTACTTAATCTTTCTGAGAAGTTTCTAAGAAACTATTTGTGTAAAGGATAAGTTGTTCATCCTTTTGCGTGTCAAAAGAAAGTGTTAGTAATCTCTTGTGTGTTCAAGAGAGGTGAGCTCTATCCTTTATTTTATTCTCTTAAGTTATATGTTCTGGTTATTTCATAATTATTAGTTAATCACTCTTTTAGAAAGATTAATAACTGAACATAATATCTTTTGATCTAAACTGTATAAAATCACTTGTGTATGCTTCTTTTTCTACATTCTTTTATTTACTTGTTATTATCTTAAAGAATAATTTTTATTATGAAATCAGTTTTAAAAAGAACAACTTTTTTAAAAAGTATAGTTTTTATCAAGTAAACCAATTTACCCTCTATTTTTATCTGTCCAAATATTGCGTTTTTCTAACATATATTAATATAGATTTTCTAACATATATTAATATAGATCTATTCACTAAAAAAAATTATTAACAAATAACGTTAGTTGGTAATAATAAATTTTTGTTGATAAAAAATATTTTAATTAAAAAATAACAACCAAAATGTTAATAAAATTATAAATTTTCCTCACAATTAAAAAACTAGTAATAATTATCCCAAAAATACATAACATTAATTACCGATAAATATTTATTTATAATTATTGCAATTTAACTTTTTCCTTCATGAATATTTTTTTTAAATGTGTGATATAATTTTATTGTAGATTTATTGTTATTTTTTTTATGTTTTTTATTATTTTTTTATAAAATCGACAACTATGTCTACCTACAACTTATTTAATCACCTTTCCTTTTTCTTATTCTTAAAAACGACTTATATTAACTGCGCGAGTAAGTCTCCGTCAACGATTAAGATGCTCATGTCTGTAATCGTTTAACAAGTCGAAGTATTTTTTCTTATCTGTAATTGTTTAACAAGTCAAAGTATATATAACACGCTCAGCAAAAGAATTAATATAAACCATACAAATACTAACGTCAATTCTTTGCGTGATGACTAACTCGTCTACGTTTATCAAGCGTACGATTTCAATAATCTAATTTAAAATCTCATTCTTTTCAAAATTTTACTTTCAAATAACACATAAATTAATTTTAATTTAGGATTAATTTATTTTATCATTTTTTAATTTAATAAAAACTTCATTATTTTCTCTCTTAATGATCATATTCGTGTATTTAAATAGGAATTCTTAAAAGGATAATTCATTATTTTAAAAAAATTAAAATAATTTATAACACATTTGAAAAAGTTTTAAAATTATAATATTTTATTAAAATAATTATATTATCTAAAATTAACAAATATTTCAAATATTAATTTTATGTTTTTGAATTCATATTTTACTCTTTATAATTGTTTTAATTTAATTTTACTTGAAATGTGTAATAAATCATTATAAAATTGATGATTTTATAATTTTCATTTTATATTAAACATTAAAAATATTTTTTAATTTTTACATTAATTATAATATTATTTCAAATTAATAAAAATTTTAGTATTTTTTTAACGCGTGAAAATAAAATAAAAACGTTAAATGACAAAATAAGACAATAAACTAAAATAATAAACAAATAAAAAATATTAAATTTTAAATATTCACTAAAAATAAAAAATATAAAATATAAAACCAGTTAGAAATATGCAAATTTCTTGGATATCATTAATAATTAGAGTTATGTAAATTAAATGGAGGTAGGTCCCTGATCAATATAAATACCGTGAAAAGTGGGATTGTGCACATATGGCAATCCCATATGTTCTTAAAAATGACGAATACTAAGTACGCGTGTAAGTCTCCGGTCAACGATTAAGATGTTCATGTCTGCAATCGTTTAGCAAGTCGTATATTTCTTGTCCGTAATCGTTAGCCAGTAAAAGAATTTGGCAGGAATGAGATTGAAGGAGATGCAGAAGCAACTGACCAGACTGACCGTGGTGTTACTGATGGCCTTAGAAGCCGCCAGCCAAGCCCTGCCCGGCTGCCCGTACTCATGCGGAATTGTTTCATCGATTCCGTATCCATTCGGCATCGGCAATTCAAACCTCACCGGTGAAAACTGTTTTCTGGACAAAGAATTGAATCTCACTTGCACAAACTCAACCTTGTATCGCGGTAAAGGTAACGTCCAAATTCTGAACATAACCCTCGCCGGTAAAATCGACATGCTCACCTACATCTCCGAGGTCTGCAAAAACGAATCGTTAGGTAGAGAAGAAACACACGGCTACGATGTCAGTCTCACAACACCGGCTTTTGCCATTTCTAGTGAGGACAACAAGTTCGTGACCGTAGGCTGCGACACCTACGGCTATCTCAACAGTTTCCGGAACGGCACAGAATCTTCAACGGGGTGCTTGACCAGGTGCGACACCTTAGAGAGCGTTGAAAGCATGCAGAGAAGTGGAAACTGCACCGGCATAGGGTGTTGCCAGGTCGACATTCCTCCTGGGATGAAGAACATCACTTTTGAAGCTTTCTCCTTCAACAATTTCAATTCCACTTCCGATTTCAACGACTGTGGCTTCTCTTTCGTCGTCAAAAACGGCAACTACACTTTCTCCGTCGATCATTTAAACCGCGCCCCGTTCAGTATGACACCTATTGTCATGGATTGGAGCGTTGGAAACGACACGTGCGAAGCTTCCATGCTCAGAGCAGATTATGCATGCAAGAGTCCTTATAGCGAGTGTGAGAACTCCCCGTTTGAATATGGTTACCGATGCAAATGTAAACAAGGCTTTCAGGGAAACGCTTACCTTCTCCATGGTTGCCAAGGTAATTCCTTTATTTTTTACTTAATTTAACATTTAGACTAATTTAACAACTAAATTTTGGATTCAAATTAGCTTACGCATTTTTCTTAACATATTATTAATTTAAACGTGCTAATTTTTAATACTCTAAACAAGGTCTTTGTCATATACGTATATATATGGCATGATGGGTTGAGTTTATAAGTCTCTTTAGAGATTTCATGCATAATAGTGGTTATTCCAATTACACTGTAATCATAATCAAACGAAATATATTAATTATTAATTCCCAATTCATTAGATCTGTTTACGTCAAACATTATCATCCTTTGATAATTTATTAATTTGATGTCAAGCTTTTTAGTCTTGAAGTTCTTTCTCTTTCCTTCTTGTTTAAAATAAGTTATTTTTTTATATATTATTCACGTGTCTTATTTAATGTGTCATTTAGATTTACAATTTGATTTTGTTTGTAGACATTCCGGAGTGTACTAATAACAAACACAATTGCGATAGTGAATATCATTGTCGTGAAACTTTGGGCTCTTTTGAATGTTTCTNAATCGTTTAGCAAGTCGTATATTTCTTGTCCGTAATCGTTAGCCAGTAAAAGAATTTGGCAGGAATGAGATTGAAGGAGATGCAGAAGCAACTGACCAGACTGACCGTGGTGTTACTGATGGCCTTAGAAGCCGCCAGCCAAGCCCTGCCCGGCTGCCCGTACTCATGCGGAATTGTTTCATCGATTCCGTATCCATTCGGCATCGGCAATTCAAACCTCACCGGTGAAAACTGTTTTCTGGACAAAGAATTGAATCTCACTTGCACAAACTCAACCTTGTATCGCGGTAAAGGTAACGTCCAAATTCTGAACATAACCCTCGCCGGTAAAATCGACATGCTCACCTACATCTCCGAGGTCTGCAAAAACGAATCGTTAGGTAGAGAAGAAACACACGGCTACGATGTCAGTCTCACAACACCGGCTTTTGCCATTTCTAGTGAGGACAACAAGTTCGTGACCGTAGGCTGCGACACCTACGGCTATCTCAACAGTTTCCGGAACGGCACAGAATCTTCAACGGGGTGCTTGACCAGGTGCGACACCTTAGAGAGCGTTGAAAGCATGCAGAGAAGTGGAAACTGCACCGGCATAGGGTGTTGCCAGGTCGACATTCCTCCTGGGATGAAGAACATCACTTTTGAAGCTTTCTCCTTCAACAATTTCAATTCCACTTCCGATTTCAACGACTGTGGCTTCTCTTTCGTCGTCAAAAACGGCAACTACACTTTCTCCGTCGATCATTTAAACCGCGCCCCGTTCAGTATGACACCTATTGTCATGGATTGGAGCGTTGGAAACGACACGTGCGAAGCTTCCATGCTCAGAGCAGATTATGCATGCAAGAGTCCTTATAGCGAGTGTGAGAACTCCCCGTTTGAATATGGTTACCGATGCAAATGTAAACAAGGCTTTCAGGGAAACGCTTACCTTCTCCATGGTTGCCAAGGTAATTCCTTTATTTTTTACTTAATTTAACATTTAGACTAATTTAACAACTAAATTTTGGATTCAAATTAGCTTACGCATTTTTCTTAACATATTATTAATTTAAACGTGCTAATTTTTAATACTCTAAACAAGGTCTTTGTCATATACGTATATATATGGCATGATGGGTTGAGTTTATAAGTCTCTTTAGAGATTTCATGCATAATAGTGGTTATTCCAATTACACTGTAATCATAATCAAACGAAATATATTAATTATTAATTCCCAATTCATTAGATCTGTTTACGTCAAACATTATCATCCTTTGATAATTTATTAATTTGATGTCAAGCTTTTTAGTCTTGAAGTTCTTTCTCTTTCCTTCTTGTTTAAAATAAGTTATTTTTTTATATATTATTCACGTGTCTTATTTAATGTGTCATTTAGATTTACAATTTGATTTTGTTTGTAGACATTCCGGAGTGTACTAATAACAAACACAATTGCGATAGTGAATATCATTGTCGTGAAACTTTGGGCTCTTTTGAATGTTTCTGTCCTGACGGACTTATCGGAAATGGGACAAAAGAAGGCGGAGGATGCCACCCAAGGCAGCCGGCCGATGCTTTTACGAAGATCGTCATCGGTAAGTAAATAAAAAAATTTATTTCAGTTTTGTTTCTGTTGATGTTTTCAAAAAATGGTTATTCAACACTGAATTAATAAAATAATTTGTGGTTATATACAAACGAAGTGTTACTATGAAACCTTGAATAAAAATACTCATTTAACATAATATATATTAACTGTTTACTTTTTTTTAACTTAAAATATTATTCTTATTAAAGTAAAAATTCTAATTTTGAACAGATATCAAACTGTATAATTTTTATATAAAAAAATGGGTTATTAAAATTTTCTCAGTCTATTGTATAATTGCTTTATTCATATTCATACTTTGGTAACAGGCGCCGGTGTAGGGTTAATTGCTCTGTTCATAGGGATTTCTTGGTTGTACTTAATGTACCAGAAAAGGAAAGTCTTGAAATTAAAGCAGAAGTTTTTTCAGCAGAACGGAGGCATCATTCTGAGACAACAACTCTCCACAAAAGAAGACTCATCTCAGACCACTACAATTTTCAGTGCAGAACAACTTAAGAAAGCCACCAACAATTTTGATGAGAGCTTAATCATAGGTAAAGGAGGTTATGGTACAGTTTTCAAAGGATTTCTCTCCAACAACAAAGTTGTAGCAATCAAAAAGTCCAAAATAGTGGATCAGAGCCAGGTGGAACAATTCATTAATGAGGTCATTATATTGTCACAGATTAATCACAGGAATGTGGTCAAACTCTTAGGATGTTGTCTGGAAACAGAAGTTCCTTTACTAGTCTATGAATTTGTTAACAATGGCACCCTTTTTGATTATTTACATAAGCAAGGTCAGGGAGTAAATGTGTCATGGAAAACACGTCTAAGGATAGCTACAGAAGCAGCCGCAGCTCTATCATATTTGCACTCAGCAGCTTCCATACCCATCATCCACAGAGATGTGAAGACTGCTAACATACTCTTAGATGACACTTACACTGCCAAAGTTTCTGACTTTGGAGCTTCAAGATTGGTTCCACTTGACCAAACTGAAATAGCCACAATTGTGCAAGGAACCTTTGGGTATTTAGACCCAGAATACATGCAATCAAGCCAGTTGACTGAAAAGAGTGATGTCTATAGCTTTGGGGTGGTTCTTGTAGAGTTGCTAACGGGGGAGAAACCTTTCTCTTTTGACAGGGCAGAAGAGAAAAGAAGTCTTACAACTCACTTTCTATGTAGATTGAAAGAGGATCGTCTGTTTGATGTTCTTCAGGTAGGACTTTTGGATGAAGAAAACCAGCAGGAGATTATGCAGGTTTCTATTCTTGCTGCTAGATGCCTGAGACTTACAGGGGAGGAAAGACCTGCCATGAAGGAATTGACAATGGAATTAGAAGGAATAAAGCTTACAAAGAAACAGCCTTGGATCAATGCGGGAAGGAACTTTGAGGAGAGTGAATACTTGCTTTATGAGGCACAAAGCTCTTATGAACATGGTGATAGTAGTAGTGGCCAACAAAATACTGGATATGATACCTTGAGAGAACTTGAACTAATTGACTTTGGTAATGGAAGATAATGTTATTGTAATTTGAAATAAAGAAAAGTCTAGAATGCTTTTTGAGTTTTTCTAAGGTAAGAAAGTTTATAGTTATGAAAGGTGTAGAAAATCCTTTGTACTCCCTTGTACTTGACATTAGTAAGAAAATTTGAGTTTTCTTTTCTAATTCTGATCTCTTCCTGATATCACAGCTAGGTTTGATACAGAGAGTTGAAAGAAAAAAAAAAAGAGATTTGAGAGAGCAAAAAAGAAGAAAGGGAGTTGAGAGAAAAATAAAAAAGCAGAAAAAAAAAAGTTGAGAGAAAAAAATAGTTGAGAGATGAAGAGGAATAGGTGTATTACCTTCCAATTTTTCGTCTTTCAAATGATAATTATGAAAAATGGACCTTTATATGAAAGCATTGTTAGAATTTCAAGGTGCTTCAGATATTGTACAAAAACGGTATGAAGAGCCTCAAGTTAAAGGAACCTTATCTCAAGAAAAAAAAGAATCCTAGGCAAAAACAAAGAAGTAACTTAGACAAAAGTAAACAAATAATTTTTGTCGATAACCTCAAACCAATCAATGAAATATTGATTAACATGTAATTAATTGAACAGTACTTGAAATCAACTATTCTGCTTAGAAATGAAATAGTTCAAATGTTCGTAAAATGTTTTGCTCTCATTATTATTATATATATATATATATATATATATTAGGATCCAAATTCGAGAAATCAAAATAAGAGGATTGAACTATTTCTTTTAATTCTTTTAAATTTGATAAATGTTGGTTGATCATGTATTTCATTCTAGTTCGATTATTCATAGTATCATTCCTTATTTAATACCATTGAATTCCATATTCGAAGTTGCAATTGAATCAATTCAATACATTTCTAATCATGGCTCCTATATTGGATTTGAACAAGATTTCAAATCAATCTATATTGATTGACGTTACTTTGTTCCTAGTAAATACATATATTTTAGGTTTTAGATCTTCCACATTAGTTGCACAAGAAGTTTGGTTCCATTTTTTTATGATCCAAGTTAAATACAATTTATTCAAATATATTTTAGGATTCAAACTAAAACTTAAATGTTTAACCACTATTTTAGGATTCCTTTGTTGTACCTCTTTAAAGTTTCACAGTGCTTCCACTTGCAAATTAAATACACAATTTTAATAATTTTTTTTTTTTGCATATGTAGTATAAGCACAAGACATATACATACATACAAACATAAGTATTACTTGTTGCATTTCCTAAATAAAGGTTAGAAGTTTTAGAAAAAAACTATGTTGATTGCATTTACTAAAGCAAAATTTGTATTAGTAAAAGAAACTTAAGAGAGGACAGTAAAGATAGTCTTCTAAGTATGCTAAGATTTCAAATAAGGTTGTTTTCTCGTTAACATGCCAATAACAAAAAAGTCAACAATTCAATTCTCAGTATGACTAACACAAACAACCCTATTTCAAATAATTATTTTTATTATAAAATTGTCACCATTTTATTAAAATTCAAAATAAAAATAAACTCATATCTTACATCCCGAAACTCAACAAAATTGTAAAATAAATGTGAAATAAAAATTCTAAGACTAGCCAACAACTTTAGGTCCTATCCAAATTCTCATTTTTACTGTTATGTGTAACACCCAAATAATTTAAAGGGTATTACTGGTAATAAAGACTAAATTAATTTGATATCTGATATAAACAATCAAACTTTATTTCAATTCTTCCAAAGTACAATTCCAAACTTAAAAATTTTAAACAATATAGTCTTCACCACTTAACATAATTTCGAAATTAAACTTATAAGTCTTACACAACATATTTTTCCAATGCAAATTTATTCTTTTTACAAAAATCCCTGAAAGTTTTTCCCCGCATCTCTCTCATCATCTCTAAGCTTTTTCAACCGCATCTGCAACATTATTTGCTCACATATAACATGAGTTATATGATCATAGCACAAACAAATAAGGGTAAGCCAACCATATCATACAATCATTAAATTTACTTATAATATAAATGTTTCGATCATGTATTTCTGTAATTTATAAATACCATTATCCCGATGTCATTAATTCATTTTTTTTAACTTCTTCAAAATCATCTTTCTCATTTTACAAGTATACCATGCTTACTCACGAAGCCTTATGGTCAGACCGCTCTTTGCCTGCTTCCTTAAGCCTTACCTGTATACTGTGTCTTACTTTCTGAAGCCTTATGGTCAGACCTCTCTCTGCCTGCTTCTATAAAACTTACGAATCATATGTTTATGTCAAAGCCTTATGGTCAGACCACTTTCTGTCTGCTTTCATAAACCTCGGGTGTTACTTTACTCATATCAAGCTCTCATGGTATAAACCGAACATACTACTCCCAGTAGTAAACATCATTTCATAAGTAATGATTTTTTATATCCACTCCAACATTTCATAAAATCAACAATTCATACCCTCTTATCCACCTAACTCAATCATGTTCATTCTTTAATCATAAATTGACAATAACCCATTTTGGTGTCAATAAATTAAACATATTGCCAGATATCATACTTCATATTATAAACTCATTTTTCCCATAACGAGTATAACTCAACATATTTTCACCAATCAAAGGTCATAGATCAGCCAAAATACATCAATATATCTTAGGAACTACATATTAAAGTTTGGGCTCAATGTAACGGTGAATGAAATATATATGAAGTTTTTACCATGATAACTTAAGAACAAAAATATAGTGTTCATCATACTTTTCAAAATTTCGAAATTTATTTCTCAACACATAGACTTCTAATTACGAATCCGAACGGTCAAATTATAGTAATATATCTTAGGAATCATATATCAAATTTTCAGGTTGATCTAACGGTCAAATAGAACA